AAATATCTAGAAACTTTGCACTTGGTAAGCGTAGTACTTCCCAATGCTCTTCTAAAATACCTGGTGTTCTCAGTTACATATACAATATAATGATCAGATTGAACTTTATAAATAAACCCGCTTATTTTGAGAAATGCTCAACGTGGCTTAAAGTGCTTAAATTAAAACCAAACCACTAGAAACCTTGTAATTAGCTGATTATTAGCAAGCCTAGAAATTATCAATATTGTCATTAAAAATCTATGTTTTCATTAATAAACACTCTGATAATCATGTTAAGTCCTAAAAATTCCCGCTTTATGTGAAAAATGCTTAACCTGATCTATGAAATAATTCCGAAACTTTGAAAGGTGTTCTAAAAATAGGGATTCTGGTTCTTATTAGCATAAACAATGTACTAATCGCACTAAACTTAGAAAATACCCCGCCCCCTGCTTATTGTGAACTAAAATTTAAATAAAAACAAACAAACTGTATTTCAAAAGATCTATCACTTAAAGCTATAGCTATTGTAGAACATCAGGATATTTGTTCAAAAGATCTATCACTTAAAGCTATAGCTATTATAGAACATCAGGATATTTGTTCAAAAGATCTATCACTTAAAGCTATAGCTATTGTAGAACATCAGGATATTTGTTCAAAAGATCTATCACTTAAAGCTATAGCTATTGTAAAACATCAGGATATTTGTTCAAAAGATCTATCACTTAAAGCTATAGCTATTGTAGAACATCAGGATATTTGTTGAAAAGATCTATCACTTAAAGCTATAGCTATTGTAGAACATCAGGATATTTGTACGTAGATACGTGTAATGAATATAGGCACTTAAGTAGACAGTGAAAAATAAGATGTTAGTGATGCGTGGCAACAATATTAAGAGGAAATAATACAACGAAGCAAAAAGCTAGTGCTATGTAAATCAATCAACTGAATAGATTATAAAAGTATTTACAATCGAAAAGTAAGTTAAGCTATATATGTACATATAGGTATGTATGTGTATGTACTTAATATCAATTTGTGGTCAGAGCAACCTCCATCTTTAGAACGAAACTAACAAACAACCTAGTGATGAGTATAACTAATTAAATATACTTTTCTCACGTTCATACTTATAAATATCAGAATGCATTGTTTCATCAGTTAAGTATCCTCGCTGCTAACGTTATTTTCGGCCGTAAACCCAATAATATCTCATGAGGTTTGGCCAGCTAAGCCACTGCTACTAGTAAGTGTGTACTAACCATTTTGCTACCTGTCACTTATGAACAACTCGAATCTCAGCTTCATAAAATATATAACTGGAGCAATAATTCACCTAAACTAAGACTTTTAATCGACAAATTGACCAACCTGTATCAATATTTTAGCTGTCCACTATAGTATAAGCCAAAACACATTCAGATTAATGTAGTATAGGGATCACTGCCCTGAGTTAGTATTAGTAATGCTAAGAGGAGTATCATTAAGTCTAATGCAGAGATGTGATCACACTACTGTAGTCCAGTATCGTATAACTGGGGACGTTCTTTTTTGGAAAATTTGTAAATATTTGTTCTCACAGATATTAAAATATTTTTTATAACAGGGCACGTTATATGTTAAAAAAAAAACTGATTCTCAAGTACAAGAGCATAATAACAATCTTTCCGTAACTCTTGACATCCACTGCTCGGCTCTGAAACATTGTATTTCGATTAATTGACGAAAGAGGGCAGCAGTTGACAAAGAGTGAACAACCTTATGTAAGAGGTCATAGGTTTTGCTTTAGTGCCAGTTTAAGAGGCAGATTTAACCTGATGTGTTGGAGTTCTTGGCAAGACTGGAAGTCGATGACCAATGTCCTGTTAGTATCTTATAGACTGATGAATACATTATATGGTTTGAAACTAATCCACATGTAACATTTCATGCATACCTCCATGATACTAAGGTGACAGTGTGGTGTAATTTCACAGCTGACTTTGATATTGGATAGTAATTTTTTGAAGAACCATCAGCAGTCAATGCTGCATGGTACCATGTAATGCTCACTACCAATATGATTTCCATGCTGCAGTAGCAAAATGTGAGAGACGCTATGTTTTTTTATGCAGGATGGTGCCCCTCTGCATATTGGTAATCAGGCAAAACACATCTTGTGAATGGCCACTTCGTTTACCAGACCTAACACCTGCTGATGTCTGGTTGTAGGGGTATGTGAAGTCATGCATGTTTCACAGTAAGCCTCACAAAGTCAGGGCCATATTAAGGGTGGAGCAGCTGCACCAGGGACCCAAACATAAAGAAATTTTGAAACTTTTATGCATTGTATGCACTTGTATTTATTAGGGGTGGGAGGCAAATGCTGTTCTACTGCTCCAATACCAATCTGACCTAAATCCACCCCTGCACACAATTCCAGACCTCTAGAATGCAATCGTTCATGAAGTGGTTAGCATAATGGATGAGATGTACATTGTTGCTATAATTTCCATCACAGATGAAATGCATTCTGAATGCTGGAGGAGCAAATTTTGAGTAGTTGCTGTGATTGATTAACTATTAGGTCGTAGTGGTGCCTCTGGTGGCATTTGCATCCACATGATAACATTCCTATGCCATACGGTTTGTGAGATATGATGCATTTAACTGTGAAACTTCTTTATAATCACCCGTTACATATACAAAAAAGAATTAGACTATTGAACTTTCCAACTATATTTTGTGCTGGGATTCTATCAACTATTAGATAATGTGACATGTTAAAACACATTAAATAATAAAGCTCACCACAACCAGGTGAGAATTACAGTTTGAAGCAACATCTGTTTTGAACAGTCCAGCTATGTTAATGATAAAGATAGCCAGCCATCTGAGGAAATTTAATGTGCTTTAGGGGTAAATGATGGCTTAAGTAATTTCGTGGGTATACACAGTTTTATAATTTTTCATTCTGAAACAAATTCTGAGATGATTTAAAACCTGGATTTTGAGGTATTTTTGTTCCTTCAGGTATGTAAGTTGTTGTTTTTTTTGCTGTCACATATACAAGGGAATATACCTAAAATTTCAGTTTCATGTAAAAGATTAAATGAAGAAGGAAAATATTTTAGGTAAGATTTTATCGTTTAAACATAATTTTTTAAATATTACTTTCAGTATCACATACAATTTTGGCACTTAAGAAATCAACCAAGAACATAATTCAAATGGAATATGGAAAATTCAGGTGCATTTTATGCCATTTCAACTTTTAAGTCAAGTTTATAGCTCAGTAGTTTATACCCTTGAAAGAAGTTTTTTTTGGGATAGCTATTTTAAATTTTAACCATTTCTGGTACTTCACAAAATCAGTGCATTATTTAATGTGCAAAATTTTTCTACTTAATGTGGTTTATCACAATAATTTGCCTGAACCATTATATATACATACTGATTTCTTAAGATATTATGCTTTGTTATTTAATAATACTGTACAAGACTGATGCTTATAGCACTTGTTCCCAACAAGATCAGTCCAGTTCAGTAAAAAGTTCTGAAATAATGTACATGGAAGTTGAACAAACAACTACAGTTATTAATTTTTTGTTTGAATTCTGTTATACATTATAATTACAGATATCATTGTTAAGTAATTATAATTATACATTATAATTACTTAACAATGATATCTGTATTTTTTGACATTAAAATAAAATGTAAATAAATATTTTATTCCAACTGGATATGTAACTAAGTATTGAAAGATAATTACTGAAGTTTCACCTTTCTTCTTCCATGCGGATTAATAAGATTTTTGTAAATACAGCTGAATTTGTATACCAAAGATAAATTTTCCATTAATTTTCAGAATAGGAAGCAACTACTCACTCACAAATAATTAATTCACTGTATTGAAGAGAATTGAGTATTGGGGGGAACCTTTAGGAAAGGAATTATTGCATTGACAAAACAGTTTAACATGAAAAGACTCAATAAAGAAGTTAATGAAAATGGTAAATTAAACAAGGAGAAATGGGCTTAGAGGGAATGATGTACCCAAGCATATACTCAACAGGTAAAAAATATTTTAAAGGGTCACCACAGAGATTTTACAAAAGAAAATTTGTAGAGCAAGCCAGCCCAGTCTTGTGTACAGTGAGATTATGATGGCAAGTTTCATGCCACAACCAAGTCATGACAACATCATTACATAGATTCTGTAACACAGGAAAAAGACTAAATATAGTGAAAAAATAAAAGTGACCACAGCTACATGGGTGTACAAAGACTTGAGCTCTCGTTTTGACAGACTATAACGTAAATTACAACATAAGTATTTGAAGGTTTGTTTGTTTGTAATTAAGCACAAAGCTACACAATGGGCTATCTGTGCTCTTCACACCACGGGTAGCAAAACCCAGATTCTAGCATTGTAAGTCTGCAGACGTACCGCTGTGCCACTAGGGGGGAGTATTTGAAGGAAAAATGGAAACTAAAGCAGCCTTGGTAGACCTGTCAGCCAGTTTATTCTTAAAAACAGCAATGTTAGTAGGAATCCATAAACAAATGATATGTAAAGCATTATAAACTGGATAACATATGGACAAAAAGGGATTATTTGGTACTTCAAGACTGCTCTTGCATACCAAACCTTGAGGAGTAACAATTTAAACCCATCCATTAATGATTTATTTGTCAAGAAATTATAGATCTCCTTCTTAAATTACAGTTGAGTTCTGGCTTCCACTAATGCCAAATCTTTCCATAAGTCAGTCACCCTGTTAGAAAAATAAAACTGGAGCTTACCTTGTATTTTTCAAAATCTTAAATTTCTGTCCTCTCTTTATATCATATTCAGAATATAACACAAAGAAATCAGAGGCATTAAAGCAATTTAATTTAATTGTCTTGTATTTATTTCTTTTGTTAGTCAGTTTCATTGTCTGGATAGCTTTGGTTGGTAATAGAAGTGTTTTAATATTTTATTGTTGTATGAAAGAAATTGGAAGTTTACTCAGTAAACTTAAACATTTTATTACATGCAACAAGAGGTTTTATCAAGTAGTCACAAATATGTTTTGCTCAAATTTTATTAACATAAATAATTCAATTATGTTGTTACTCTACGAACTTTATTATGCTGTATATTCAACTAATTTGAATGTAATCTTTTTTGTCATGTAAAAAGTAGTTATTATCTTAGTGATAATTTAAGACATGTTTAAATTTTTAATTATATATATTATAATGTGTATTCATATATTGTTGTTCTTTTTGAGCAATCTGAATTCTCAACCAAATTCCCACAGCAGCTCCAGTGACGATGTCCAGGATGACCACTATGACCATGACCACACCCTTGGTAGCCACCTGAAAAAAACAAGGATTCTAATGTACACGGAAATATCTTGTATACGACAAGTAATGGTATAGAGAAAAGTGTCATTCTACAAACTTGGAAATATGTTCTAGTAAAAATATCATCCAAATAACTTATCAAAAATACAGAGAATGTAATACTAGTACACATAAGAATTCCTATAACTAAGTTAACTAGGAATACTAGCACAAGTAATAACATCCTATCAATAAATAGGGAATACCAATTCTAACATTACCATACTAATAAATAAAGAAACAATGAATATAGTGTTGATAATATACTACCAAAAAATATAGAATAGTGGTACAGGTAACAATATTCTTCTAAACAAAGAGAAAGAAAAACAGTTCATTAAAAAATCTTCAACAGAAACACTGGATGTTAATATAGAGTTCCCCAGTCGGTCAAGGGTAAGTTTACAGAGTTACAAAGCTAAAATTCGGGGTCCAATTCCCTGCAGTGGACAGAGTGCAGATAATCCATTGTGTAGTCTTGCACAAAAAACAATGACAAGCTATGACAGATAATAATACACATTGAAAATAGACAGTTTGTTTGAAGAAATCAGTATAACTGATTTATGTTAAACACTAAACATAACAACACCCTTAGAAAAAAAAAGTTGCATTAACCTCCTATCAAGGTTATACACTGAGTGGTCACAAGTAAATAGACACCTAATTTTTCGTCATTTAACTGATTTATGCTAACTAATTTGTGTTCACAGAGCACAATATAAATGAAAATGGTCCGCGATAGTTGGTCAAGCAGATGGTGGAATAAGTCAGTGGCAAATTTCGCAGAATTTGGGAATCCTGCTTTCGACAGTCAACAGAATCATCGTGCAGTTCAGGAAACATGGCATGGAAACAACTGAGCAGCGTCCGGGTCTTCCTGGTCCATCGGAGAGGACAAAAAGGGCTGTCAAGAGAAGCATCAAAATAGATCCCAGATTAACGACTGCAGAAGTGGCCAAAGTTGGTGGGATGAGCCCGAAATCTGTTCAATGGATTCTCCACAAAATAAACAAGAAGAGAGATTACAACAGTTGTTGGAGGAAAAAGAAAAGAAACAAAAAGAGAAATTACAGCAGTTGTTGGAAAGTATGGCACACAAGGCCTACCCAACTGAACCGCCCAATCTCCTCAAGTTGTTGCTGAGAGATCAGTTTGTAGATGCCTTGGACAGTCCACAACTGAAGATACAAGTAAAGCAAGCACACCCGTCTACTATACAAGATGCAATGGCCAGAGCTCTTGAATTTGAATCCTACGTTAAGTCCAACACAGAGGTACTGAGGTTGGTACAGTCATCAGGATTCAAGGTCAGAAATGGGCAGCTTTCAGAGAGGTTTGAGGGACTTTGCTGGCACCA